AATGTCGACTTCCCTGGCAGCTCTCAACAGTAAGGCAGGTTCAAAGGTCACAGGATAAAGAAAAAGCCAAGCTCTGGTTCAGCTCTAATATCTCTTCAGTAGAAGTCTTGCAAAAGTACCCCCTTCTGTATTAGCCTGGCTTTCATTAATCTTCTTGCCATCTTCTTTAACTAGTCATGCAGAACCGCTCGATAGCAAGACGTATAATGGGAAGGCCCTGTGCCTATTACCGCGTTAACATTCTCTTAAGCCCAGTGCAACAATGGACTGGGAAGGCAGAGGAAAGCTGCAACTGCAGGGTGCGGTGTGGGCAATTCAATCACAGCCAGGGCTTACCTATGGACTTTGACCTGCAGACACATGGGGCCTTTGTGTCTAACTGCTTGGCCATTAAGGTTGCTGAAGATCACAACAATGCTGATCTTTTCTATTTAAGCTAAATCAATGTAGACAAATCATTATTCAGTGGCTTTAATTTCATTAGTAAATTAAATACACTACTTTACAGATCTTGTCAAGTACTTATGAAAAGAAAGATTCATTTAAGAGGGAGGTCACCAATAAGCCCAGATCATTTAGCTCATACTCTTAACTGAATCTCATCTCCAATATCCAGTAGGTTCTATTCACTAGGGTCTTACAGTCTCCTGCAGCTGTGGTTAACTCAAAACCCCCAAAGAGTTTCTATCTTGTGTCCAGTGTTTTGAACAACAAAACAAAACAAAGATCACCCACTAACATAACCAGCATCAACAGAATCAGATTTCCTTTAAATTATACTATTGCAAGAGAACGTAATCAGGTTACCTCTATTATGTTGCTTCCTAAGATTTTATATTATCTATATTTAATTGAGATACAGAGCTCTTTTCAGCTATAAAGACGACAGCTACTTTATTAAGGTTTAAATCTCATTTCTTAATGATAGGCTGCTTCCTTTAAAGACTGAACCTGCTCAACTCTTTTCTGATGAGGCCAGACCTGGCATGGTATAGTCTGGTTCTGAGACATAGCCCAAGGTCTTGGATGGGTACTAGTTTCACAGAAAGGTCCCTGGCTTTTGTTTTAGCATTGGAATCTGAGGCTAGCACTTGAAAAGAGCACATGGTATCCAAAGTCTGTGTCTAGACTGTGGGGATGGAAAATGATTTCTCTGAGACAATGTAACAACATCAGTTTCTGATGTGGAAAAATTTTCCTCCCTTGTGTGCTGTACACATCTTGGATCAGTCAAAAGAAATTAAAATTATTCATCTTTTAAGAGGCTTGTGGCATCCTTTAAAACAGTATCTTAAGGAATGGCAAGTTAGACTGATAAACTGATGATCTGAATAATAATGGCAGCATGCTTTCCCCCTCAAATCTAGAAAGGCAGAAATGATTCTTAATTCTTAGGGCTTGTGATACACAGATTTCCTCAACTCTTAAGAGTCTGTATTTATATGTACATTTTTAAAAAACATGTATCTATTTAGTCATTAAGTTCCAGGTCCTTAAACATTCACAGCGACAGAGCAATAAATCTTCCCTCTGAGAACCGGACTAAGAGGGGAAAGAGAGTCACAGAACTGCTGTTTGTGAAGCAGATCTGGCCTCTCGGATTCCACAATGTACATAATTATGTGTTTCACTGCAGGCGCGCTAATGCTCAGTCCCTTTGCCAAGTCAGCTATTCACACACTTTTGGGATATGGCATCAATTAAACCTGAGTAGTGTTACTTATGACGACCAAATTAATGGTTTGACAGCGGCTTTCTCAATAAACACTGCAAACTGGCCATATTTGAAGGGTTTAAAAAACATTTCTTTTCTGTTCAAAATTCTGACAAACATGTCTCAAGTAAGATTGGGGACAACTTCATTATCCTCCCAACACTTAATGCTTTTTCGTAAAGAAGGCTGTTTAATAACACGTCTGCTCTGTTTTCACAACTAAATTATTCTGGTTGGTCACACGTTCCCGTCTTCAGCAAGACACTTGTGTTACGAGAGATAAAAACATGAAAAAGGAAATATATTGCAGAAATCAGAAACCTTATCTACTTCTAGACTCTCTCTCTTTGCCATAATTCATTCAAGAAGGCCCCAAGAATAATTTTTGATGTAAACTCAGCTACAAACATACATCACTATGCTGATAAAAATCACAGCTAAACTTATGAAATATAGTGACTTTCATTTCTTTAGTGCTGTTAAAATAACTTTTCTAAGGTTCAACAGACACAAAAGATAAAAAGGGTTACCATTAATCCTTAAAAAAAAGAAAGAAAAGAAGCAGCCCTATAGATTAATTCTGTGGTCTGATGATGGTCTGAGGATGAACTTTTTAGATTAAGTCACTGAATTAATTGGGTGAAGATACTGGAAATCATAAAAACACACAGCATCAATCTGATTCATTTAATATAGCCTTGCTTGGGCTCTTCACAACATAAATGATGTGGAATAAAAGTATTGGTTTCTAAATTCTGTCCACATTAAGTTCAGTTTTAAGTAGACATTCACTAAGGGCAACTCTGCAGGCATTATGCTAGGGGCTAAGGATGGAGAGGCTGGTCAATTAGTTCAGTAGGGAAATGTAAGCAGGAGAGAGGGGAGGACCTCACACAAGTAAACTCAGCTAGTGTGTTTGTGTGGAGGTCTGTTTGACACCTGGGACACAGTTAAAGCGAGGACTGGTATTGGAGCTGGCTCTTGAGAAGTGAGCAGGATGAGTGAGGGGAGGTAGGAAGGCTGTAAGTTAGAGGGAGGTTGGAGTGGGAACAGCAGAAGCACAAAATGCATTGAGTGCAAGTAGTTCATAGTGACCACAGGCAAAAGTGGAGAAGAAAAATTCTGGGCTGAGGCCGGTAGTCAGTGTTTTTTAATGCCAGGAAAGCCTATGCTGAGGAGTCTCAATTTTATTCCATATGTCTATAATGTTCAAAGTTTTTCTTTCTTTAAGCAGCGAAATCCTTTTACCTATGAACTTCTTAAATGCAGATTCCCCAAAAATGTAGTTTGTTATGCCCAACGAACACACACACACACACACACACACACGCACACACACACACACACGCACACATGCACGCGCGCGCGCCCCTGATGTCCCTCTGAGAACTTCCAAGCTCTGAGAATGCAGTCTGAAAAGCACTGCTACAGGGAACAGGGACTCTGGAAGTGAGCCATTTTACTTGGAAAGTGTCACAATTTCTAGATCTCTGAAGCCAGAGTAAGAGACAAGGAAACCTTTGAGAGACCCATGTGTGCAGACCCATGTACCATTGGGTATACCAAAAGTGAGATGAAAGATTCCTGAGAGATTGTTGTGCTGAAATGGCAGCCTGTGTCTGCTCTGTGTCCTCAACTCTGGGGACCTGGCCCCAAGCATGCAGATGTACAATAATTACTTCTTGATGGATCCCACGAGGTAACTAGGAAGTGGGTGGCTGTGAACCTTTCCTTCCTTTCCTACTAGCTGGGTGTGTCACATCTGAATTTTCAGTGCCTGACTCACAGCCTTCCTGGGCACAGCGAGTACCTGGTGTGAGTGTGAGGGAAACCCATACCCTGCTTCTAGTTCTTTCTCTAACCACTCCAGCTCATCCCTCTGTGCAACATGCAGGTGATAGTCTTTCAATTCTCAGAGATATGGAGAAGTCATAAAATGGCACTCTTGAAAGCATACTCAGTTCTTGGGAAGAAAGATGCTACACCAATGACATCTTTTCTGCTGCCAAGCTAGAGTGAATAGGATTAGGAAGATAGTTATCTAAGGCAGAGGGAGTCCAGCAGCTTTGGGGTGTAGCCCCTTGGGGTGTAGCCCCAGAGCAGCAGACTCTTAAGCAGGTTCCTAAGGCCTTTTCTGGCAACCATTTTGCAGAATCAGAGCCTTCCTGGGACAATAGGGATGGCAGGAATGGGATGGGATGATCTTTTACTCCTTTCGTCTTATTCCACTAAATTCTCCCTCTTGTTATGCTTGGAGGCTGGGCTGAAAGGAGAGTATATAGCCCAGCACAGCTGGATTTGACAAAAAATTAAACACCTGCTCACATCTGAGGCCATGTGGCCTGCACCCAGTCTCTTCATACCCCTTGTTAGTTGGTATGACCTCAAAAGGGTCATACCCTGGCCTTTACATTTCTTATTGCTCCATTTATGCAATTATAATATTTGTTCTCAAATTTTCTGGACACTGAACATAGTAGATTAATTAACAAAAGTTAGATGCTCAGTATGTACCCTCAAGTTACCAAACCAGAACCTACTGGGGTGGGCTCTGGGTGACTGCATTTTAAACAGCTCCACAGGGAATGCTGAGATGCATCAGAGGTTGAGCACTGGCGTCTTCAAGTAGTCTCTTAGCAAATAATGAACGCTTATATAGTTTACACTTTTTCTTCTTCAGTGCTGTTTAAGTGTCACTTTTGCCCTTGATAGGACTGGAGTCCTAAAAATGATTAAGTGAGCAATCTAAATACTATACTCAATTACTTAACTGAAAAAATATAATATGCCCAAACTGTATCTACCTGGCTAATTTAAGAGGAGGAATGCAACCCAGCAGTGGTCTCTTGTGTGGGACCAGGCAGTGGCTGTCAATGATCTGGGGTTGCTGACACCTCCAACACGATGGCCACAGGATTCCTCCAGCTTTCCTCCATCTGGTGCAGAAGGAAAGCAGATCCAGGTCTGCCTGATCAAGTCCTCCAGATGGGAAGGGGAGTGGAGCACAAAGTGAAATGGAGCTCTTATGAGTGCGAATTCCCAGGAGAAATCTGCCCTGGAACCCTAGCCCCAGGGCGGGGTTGTGAGGTTCCTTGATGCCATCAAGACTGAACAGGCTCTGGGCACCATAACACAATCCGTTTGATTAAAAGAAATTTCTGGTAATGAATTAAACAGACCCAAGGAAGAAAGGACACAGTGGCAATATATTCTCTTGGCACCCCGCACACAGAGGAGAAGAGAGGGGGAAGAGAAAAAGAAGACATAAATAAAAGGGACTACTCACTGGGGCTTTTTTCTTCAGCAAGGTCACAGGCACAGAGCAGGTCAGAATCGATTGAGATGGGTTTCTGCTTAATCCAAAACTTAGTGCTGGCTTTCTGATTCGTAACAGGGTCTATCTCTACTTTGTCTCCAGAGATACCTGTAAGACCAAAAAAAAAGAAGCCATGAGAAGCAGAAGGTGTAAGTGATTTCAGTGTAATCATTTGACCTGCTGTATAAATCCAGAAATGGATGAACATTTGTTCTTTCTTAGGGCTTTAGAGAATGCCAGTGGCTTCTTATAATTAGAGACTCCAAAGGGCACATAAAAATTGCAGTCTGGCTTTTTGAATGGGTGAGGTGTGGGGGGATGTCAACTCAAAATTATATGTAAAGGTATTAGGAAACATGCTTTCTTAAATGTAGTAATAGATACAAATAACAGATACAATACAGAACTGACCTATATATTGTTAATTACATTTTTCTGCATTATAATGAAATAAACTGTAGTGTATAGGGTAATTTGAAAAGTAGCCTTTTTAAAAGAAGCTATGGAGTAGACAGATGAATACCACTTATGCCTGAATGGCTAAGGTACTAATGAAGAATTTCTGATCTGGAAAAATCTTACACTAAAAATGGGGAGAAGGGGATCTATCTCTTACCTTCTATGACACTAAATAATTATCTAAATTACATTTAGAGGAGTCACAGGAGGATTAAAGGGTCTTTTACACAAAAACTTCCAAGTTCAAGTCTTGTAGTCTGTTTTTAAGTCTATGGAGGTCACTCCTCTCTGCTGAGGGAGAGATTCAGCATTGGGTATGAGCTGAGCAACAAAGACTTTAAAGCAGGATGCTAGAATGTTAAACACTAGTGCTTCAGGTTTTATTTTCTGGGCTATAAAAGGCATATCATGCTGTACAGTGACTGGGAATAAAGGTGTTCACAGAATAAAGGTAGTGCAGGTATGGGAGGTGTCCTGGGGTAAGTGTGGACGTGCAGTGATTGCTCTCCGGACATTTCAGAGAAGACACTTCTCTGACATACTTTTCCTCTTTTACTGAAAATTGAGAAATTTACTCATGAAGTGAGGAAAAAAAAAAAACCAAAAACCAAACCAAACCCTTTAATAAGCTCTGTGGAGTGAGCCCCATACGGAACTTCAAAATTAATTAATTTTTAGGCCATAGTTTAAAGGTCAGGGTCAAAATGAAGGAAAAAAAAAAGACCAAAATGAAGTCAAGCTATAAGAAATAATTAAAACAATCAAAACTGTACATACTATAATAGAAAAGACAATAAGGATTAACATATTTTATCCTATGGATTACACTTTGAAATTCTGAATAAAATGTGAGAAAAATCAGTAAGCTGAAAGCAGATAAAAGCAACAGCTCAATTAATGCCCCTAACAAATCCCTAAAACCAATACACAGACACACACAACCACAGTGTGACAGAAAACTTAAAATGACAAAAAAAAAAAAAAAAACCAAACATAACCCTAATGGTTAGGCCTGGTACACCATTCATTCATTTCTATTTTATTTTATGCATAGATTAACTCCAGATCTCCGTAAGATGAAGGCAGAAGCCTATGTTCAGACGGATGAAGGCAGACTGCTGTCCTCAGAGAAGACCCTGAGTGATGGTTGCCTAATCCTGCTCATCATATGTGGTTTTCAGTAAAGATGAATACTGGTATTATTTTTATTAATTGAATTCTGGAGTTTACCATTACACGTATTTCAGGAATATCATATTTCAATTAGGCATAATGTCTTAAGTCCAACTGATGTGGATGCTCAGGTCTAGACAATTTCATGAGGGAGAGAATGTATCAGGAGGCCAATTTTCTCACTTTTCACTTAAAATAGATTATGACTACCCAGTTACACTCTTGTTTCCAATTTATCATTAAATGTTAAAGATCTGGACATTTCTACAGTTCACTGAAAGAAGAAAAGTCCTTAAGCCATGAGTGTGTGTGTGTGATGTTTCCTTTCCTTACTCTGCTTATTTTGACATTTATAAAAGTCAAAACAAACACAGCAGAATAAATGTGCATAACTCTTATGTGGAAATAAACCCTGCCCCACATTCCTTTCTCAGAAAGAGAGGGGAAAAAACCATCACTGTAAAGAGATGGTTTAAAATTTTGTTCTATGGCCCTGTTACTCTTGATGCCACAGTCAGTCAATATTGTTAATGTACCTTGTTAATTTGATAGGATTTGTCAGGTAACTCCACTGGAAAATTATATAAAACTGTTCCAGATGAAAAGATGATAGTGACATGAATTAAAGTGATAGAACAATAGTGGAATATAAACCAGAAATGACACCCAAAGTGGCTGTTGATTTATTGCCATACTGAGTTTGGTTCTGGGCTCCCATGTATATTAGTGCTACAAATCTGGGTCCATTTAGCAGAGGGATGCTCATACATACATCACCAGCTTCTGCTCCAAGCCAAGGTCACTCCCCATTGCATCAATCTTTTCAACAAAGCCTACTTCACAAAGCAGGACTTTTGTAACCATCTCAGATGTAACAGTCTCTCATCCTCTTTCATCTTTCTTTTATCATGTAAAGTACACTTTAACTTCTATTATTTTTATCTGCAAATTGTTACTGTATAGTTCATCTATTACAGGCTATATCTCTGCATCAGTTGCCTAAACTCTCCTCAGCCACAGAACACTTTCCCAATGATACCGTTTCCTGGGGTTATTGTGCAGATGCTGTTCATAGAGGGGCATCCCAAGTCCGGGGCTTGGGCATGGAGATGTGGGAGATGCAATAAATAGGTTCAAGATGGACAGACAGGTGGAACACTAAACAACTGGTAAGTTCCATAAAAGATGCATGTAGACCAGATTTTTTTCTGAATTGAATCACATTTTCCCACTGACTTCTAGTTCCAGTGATACTTTATCTTCATTTTGGATTGATCTATAATTGGCAGAGGCTCCCAACACTTCACTTTTAAGTTTCTCGGCCCTGCAGGCTTTCAGTCAAGTAGTTAATGATCTGTAAAAACTCTTGCCTGCCTCAAGGAGTCACTATTTAAAGGAACCTGCAGGAGAATCTTTCCTAATGGGAAAAATCCTTTGTACATTAAATAATCTTACTCAACTGAGATGTATCTGTTTCAGCTTCTTAAAGTTGAGCCTGAGGCCCCACAGGACCCTGCCTGTTCCTGCTGGACAAACAGCAGCATCTAGGCTGGGAGAGCCTGTGAGTCCTGGGCCAGAGCCCACCTTGTTGAGCACACCCAGAGCCCTTTTCTGAAGAGTCCTAGAATCCAGCCTGGAGACACACGCAAACCTCTGGGAGTCCCAGGTCTTCTTTTAGTTGGAAGGAATTAGTTTGCTGGAGGGAGATCAGTTAGGAGTTGGGAGTCTGACACAGTCCAGGGCAGGTACAGCAATGTTGGGGTGGGATGCTGGGCAGTGGGGGGAGGATGCTGTAGAAGCCAGGCTGGTGGGAACCTCAAATGGGGAGGAGGCTAAGCAAGGTGACTGTGACCCACTTGTTATTGCTGCCCCTTGATGATAAAGGGGAGGAAGTGAGTTAGGAAGAAGCAGAAGTAGCATTTTCTGGGATGGTGGAGCACTGCAATAAGAGTTCTGCTACTGGCATATTCTCTGCCACTCACTGCCCTCAAAGCCAAGACCCAGGCAAAGAGCACAGGTGAAACCTGGGCAGGCTCATTGCTGTCCTGACTAGCAGGTTCCAGAACCAGGAATCATTTGGAAGAGTTTTCTCCTCAGGCCCAACAGGTATGATGCTAACTACAGACACCATCATTAAGTGCCTACAACAGTTTTAATATAACTAATGTTAACTGGCACCAACTGTGTATACAAGGTTGTAAGTTCGTTGTGGACCCTGATTCAAGTCTCAGTCAGTCACTATTTAATAGGTGAGGAAACAGAAACACAGAAAGGCTGAGGAACTTGCCCAAGGTCAGCCAGTTTGTAAATGGCAAAGCTGGAATCTGAACGCAGGAAGGCTGGTCTGGGAAGTTGTCTCTCCTCCACCACTGGGCTTTGTGAGAACTGAGCTAGGTGTTTGACATAACATGCCCTCGCAGGGAAGGTGCTTGTCTGAGGTCAGAGAGCTCCGAAGTAGAAGAGCCATTCTTCTTTAAACCTAGAGCTGCCTGGTTCCCACGTCCTGGTTCTTTCCATGGGTCTGCATGGCCTCATCCACTTAAGTCAAGAAGATTTAATAGTTTTCACCAAGAGACAGGAAACAGTAAGATGTGCTGACAAAGGCACACATCTACTTCTGCTCATGTGGCAAAGTAGAACTGGAAATCCAATCAACAGTATTCCTTTGAACTGCTGCGCATGGTTTTCCTTGGCTAAAGTCTTCCATAGCCTCTGAAGGAAAGGCAGAGGCACTCCTTAAAGTGTCGCTTATGCATTATCTTAAATAATTCAGATCATAAATGTACTTCTGGCTGTGTGTGATGGCACATATGCATTATCTTAAATAATTCAGATCATAAATGTACTTCTGGCTGTGTGTGATGGCACATGCCTATAATCCCAGCAGTATGGGAGACATAGGTAGGAAGATCATGGTCGTAAGCTGACCCCAGGCAAAAACTTGAGGCCCCATCTGAAAAATAACTAAAAGCAAAAAAGAGATAAGGGTGTGGCTCAAGTTGTAGAATGCCTGTCTAGTAAATGCAAGGTCTAAGTACTTAAAAAAGAAAAGAAAAGAAAAGAAAACATATTAAGGGAATCTGACTTTTGTTAAATGTGTATTTCTCCAAATTAAATGGCCAACAATCCAACCATGACAGAATACAATATAACTAGGAAAAATTATGTCTAAAGAAAGTTTGACTTGGAAAAATTTTTATGAGACATACTAAATGAAAAGGGCAGGAAAAATATAAGGGCTGGGAGTGTAGCTCAGTGGTAGAGCACTTGCCTAGCAGGTGCAAGGCACTAAGTTCCACCTATAGTACAGTAAAAAATTACAGAAAAGAGATCAAAAGGATATGTTCCAAACTGGTAACAGAGGTTAACTCTGGTTAGTGGGATTACTTTCTTTCCTACTCTGTATTTTTCCATAATAAAAATCTCATCAAAAATTAAAACAATCATTAGCCAGTGCCAGTGGCTCACTCCTGTAA